ACATACATGTATATAAATTATAATACATGAGCCGTAAATGAATTCATCAAAAACAAAACTTAGCTGAAATGTTAACGGGTTCGTGACGACGCATTTGCCGATAGTATGCTTTGCAAATAGTGCAAGATATTCAATGGCTGTCTTAATACTATAAATTTTCTTGTTGAACTTGACATAACTAAAGAGGGTTGGTTCATCAATCAGTGCATAATTCCCTTACAGCCTGAAGCAATGTAGTTGAAATTTATGTTCACATTTACGTTAGTCGATACAGGAGTGCAATAAAATCTGATTCAAGCCTGATTGCTAACATCGAAAGAAATTAGCAGTATTGGAACAACGATTAATAAGCCTCACTGAAAGAATGTATTCTAGCCACATTGACCCAGTCTTGGTAAAGAAAATGATTCATATGGTTTTCAAAGTACAATGCACATGTTGCTTGAAGTCCGAAACTCTAAGAGGAAAAATTTAATAATAATTGATTCTAATTCCTGAATTAGCAATATACATTAGCTTAAGCTATAGATTCTCTTGAGCTCAGTAATTTTAAGCTAATAGCAATAAGAACGTACTCGCAATTATAACGAAAACACAATTTGAAAGCCTCAAATTTTGTAATACAGTGTCAGCGCATCCAATGTATTCCAGATATTATGGCTTGTAACTAAAGTAAAATTTTATATTTAGTAACTATTTTCATGTACTCTGTACGTATACAATAACATAATACAAACTATCAGGTTAATTCATAAGGAGTTAGGACGAAAACATCTACTTAAATTGAGCAAAACCACTTGAACCGAGAGTTAGAGTGAACTAATTAATATAGTTACAATAACAATCATTACTGTCACCAGCACATTTATACTTATACAGTAAACAGGTCCACCGCATAGCCATAGACCAACACTCCACGGTGTGTCACCAAATGAGCCAAGCCTAAGGAATGTTCTACATTCAAACCACACTCCAAAACAGTCAAAATGCTATACGTATTTCGGTATTTGCTCAAAATGCATTATTAAATTATTCATTTCATAACGGAAACAACAAGAAAATTGTACTGATAGTTACTGCAACTTGACCTGTTACATAACAACCTAATTGATCGCAAGCTGAACAATAATTAATATGCGATACGAAAATCTAATCTTCGTAATAATAACTTGCAAAAATTAGCGACAACAGCAGTACATTGTGAGAAGCAAATTTCGTGAAAACAATTTCAATGTTGCCAATTCAAACGCGTGTATATATAACCATTAAAGTCAAGTTGCTAGTTGATCAGCATTTAAAAATGTTCTATGAACAAATTAAATCGATAATATAAAAAAATCAGGCTCTGGGAGCTCAAACTTTTTTTTTAATATTGTAGGAGCATTGAATGGATGATAAGGAAAGTTTGGGTACATTGTTCATTCTCCGAGTTGAAGAAATTCATTCACACATATAGTTTTTCGTCCTTCACTCGAGGCTGATTAAATTTCAGACAGAACCGGAAAACCAATAGATAGACATTTCATTACCATATTATTTCGTGACAGGAAGTCTTTCGGCGAATAGAATTTTAGAAATTGTATGGCAACTTTTTTGACGTCCCACACATAGAACCCGAGGAAACAATCGCCGTTTTCAGAATTTTCATCTGGGGTTAAAGCCGTCTTGTCCACATGACTTGTTTGGATTTACAGCGATCAGGCGCTTGAGAACCTCTTCTTCTTGTATATCAAAACTTGTTAATTTAGAGCCGACTGGGCGCTCCTCAATAGCTGGAATACTGTTTAAGTCCTCTTCAGTAAATAAGCTACTGAAAAACTGATGATGAACGTTAGCCTTGCCCAGTGCAAGGTGGGCACAGTTCCGCTAATCCGCTAACCGCTAATTAGCGAAGCTAACTTTTTCCTTAGTGGATTAGCTGTTCAGCTAACTTTGAAAACCTTTAGCGGACCAATTATCTTCCGCTAAATTTAGTTCCGCTAACTGGCAGTCCGCTAAAAATGTTTAAAAATCTCTGATTTAATGCTACGTATCGTAAGCCGTGTGCCACGCCCACGCTGACGAATGGTAGCCAGTGTGGATGCCGACAAGGCGCTTGACAGCGCTCAATTTAAGTCAGCCTACAGGAAGGCCACGTCCAAGGCAAGGGCGCTATGGAACCAGCAGTGCCGCAGCATCGTGTCAGCAGACAGCATTCAGGACACGTTAAAGAGGAGGTTAGTAGTCCCCAACAATACCAGATGGAACTCTACCTACGACTCCATTGTTGTCCTCAATGACCTGCTGCATAATAAAAGTGGAGCTGTCCACCGGGTGATGACACAGCTGAAGCTGCCGAGCTTCACTGATTCTGAAGTCGGCTTCCTGAAGGAGTACGCTCAAGTGTTGTCCAATGTTGCCAGGGCCTTGGATAAGATCCCGGGTGAGGATCAGGCCTATCTCGGGAGCCTTCTGCCAACTGTAGCAGCTACCATCGTGAAGTTGACGGAGGAAAAGTCCAAAGGCCTCCTATACTACAGTCCTCTGGTGGACGCAATGCTGGCAGGCATCACGAAAAGGTTTGGGCCCCTCCTAGAAGACAAGGAGTGCCAGCTGGCAGCGGCCTTCCACCCTAAGTTTCGCCTGTTCTGGCTGGAAAAGCATAATCACAGCCATCTCAGCAGGGTACAGAAGGCCATGGAGACCGCCGTGGAGACAGCCCTGAGGGAGACTTATCATATAATATCTATGTAGTAGATAGTCGAGTCAATTCGTTGCGGCACCTTTATATGAACGCTTTAAGTAACATATGAAGGTAAATGGGGAATTGCAACGCTGTCTCACTGGAGAGCATCTACGACTTCAGGACAAAATGTTACCAAATTTTCGGTCTGAGATCATTAATAAAAGAATTACTATCTAATAATATTTATAATAATTATTGTTATTTAATAATTGTTTCTTTTCAATTCTCAAGCTCCCCTTGTAAATGGAAAGGGTTTGTACTATTTCAAAATTTCAATTGACCAGCAGGAGTTGTCGCCATTTTTAATCTGTAATTCGTACTGGGATCTGACCGAAAAAAATTTTTATGACTCAACATGTAATCTCATTACAGCGATATTATGTTTTATAATTCAGGTAATGTTTCTCACAATTTCATAAAAAATGTCAACGGCTGCGCTCACAGCAATCGATGGAACAAAATCTTGCCCCAAAATCTAGATTATTTTTCCCAGCCTCAAAAATATCAGGCAGAATTGTAAGCCACTGTAAGACGTAATTTTGGTCTGCAACTCGTGCCAAACGTTTGCTTGCACCAAAATCCCTGCGCTTCGGCTAAGGTGTGTAAGTCAGCGACCAGACTGCGCTAGCGTCCTACAATTCTGTTGCGCAGTGCAGAATCAATAATATTTTTACTTCTACAACTCACCGAGTCAAGTTCCGGAGGGCACATTGAGAACGTTATTACAGATATGCAAATTATTATGACAACCGTAGTAACTTGACGATATAATATCCTAGATAGGTGCTAATAATATTTACATGTAGTCAAATTATATGTAACATAATATCAACTGCAGTTGCTAATTGATAATGTAGTTTAAGGCAATAACAAGGATAATATTGTTAAGGTAAAGTTGATGGGTAACTCTGCTAGAATTCATTTGGCTAGCAACGTTCCTATAAAATGAGTTGCGGGAGGTTACTGGAGGAAATATATATATACATGGTCGCTACACCACCTTCTATTATTTCGCGTGAACCAAAATTCCTTCAAAAATTTCCGGGTACAGAAATTTTGCCACAAATAGAGAACTACGTGTGTTCTATTTTACTATCTTCGTCGTACGATTAACATATGATCTTTAAATTGAAATTGTTATAGAGGCAAGTTAAATGATCAGCTGGTGTATAATTATGAATGTAATTATTTTTTTATGTAATCATAGGCAATTTAAAAATAATTGGCACAGAGAGGAGGTGTTCGGTATTGCCAGAGTGACCAGTCTAGATCAATATATGATAGCTACCCAGCAAAAATTGCTATGTTGTCATGTGTTATTGATGGAAAGTTGTTCCAATGCGTATCCATTTATTGTTTTGCTCATGGAGAAATAGAAGCAGTACTGAGAAATAGGTTAGTCAAAATGAAGTTTATACATATTTGCTGAGATTATGATTATATTTGTTTGTTAACGGGAACGTCACTACTAATTTAACGCGAACCATAAATATCTCCAGCAAGATGTGTACCATTTTTGTTGTGGCCCGTACTGTCACATTCTGTATTTTTAGGAGGCCATACCGGCGAGAGTTCGTGATAATTGAGCTCGTCGTGGTCTTACAATAATGAGTGAGATGGTATTAAATAATAACGAAGAAATAGAGCTTGGTAAAATTCTGAGTGGACGAAAAAAGTGGAAACTGCAATGAAAGGGAAGGCAGGAAACTCCAAGAAAGACAAGCCTACAATTTTATAAATAAAAATATTTTCTAATGAACGTATGCATAATGGACTAATGATAGCAGGGGTTAGGACCTAATCTGCGGGAGAGCCAGGGAGTAGCTATGAATGGACTATATACGCGCAGGAGGAATATGGTGAGACTGGAGGTTCGTTGCACTATGATAAGACAAAGGCATGGTCGTCATTTGTAACCGATAAGTAAGTGAAGCCTCTACGCTTCAGCGCCAGTTTATGAAAGCTTATAGTAAAATATTAAAGTAAAGCTGCTTATTGCCACTCGACCTTAAAAAATATACACATAGAACTTAGACTTTTCGAAATTTTTCTCGCATTACTGTCACTTCATCGACACTAATCACGTGAGAGCATGGCGTTCGCAACTAGTAGCCTAGTTACTGCTGGAATTTTTTGTGTATTCAGTAATGGCGATACGGTGGCGCGCATAATCAATAGAAATATTACATCAGTCTCCGATAATGAAGTCGGAATATATTTTTGAATGTCGTCCTTGCGGCGACGCAATTGATAAAGGGACCTGCTATTAGCGTATGATAGCAAAAAGTACTGATATGAAAAAATTTTATCGGCACTTTCGTTGTTAAGTTTCGTTCATAGTTGCCTGCTTTTGTCATTGGTAAATGTAGGCTTAGATAAAAAAGTTAGCCATCAGCTTAGCTAAGTTTCTTCATTTCTTTCATGTTGTGATGTTGATCATTATTAATTAGAATTTTCTGGAATGTGCGACAGCGAGTCTAGGAGCTCTAATTTTTTGACATTTCAGCCTCAGGCTGGGCTGGGAGAAATGATTTGCTTCTGATTGTTTCTTGGTGGCCGTTGGTAGAAAAACGTACGATGCCTTTGATTATTGAATTAAAGTGGATGTTGTCAACGCTGCATACGAAGTCACTTCATAATAATTTATTAAATCCATTCATTAGTATCGCCAGCTCATTCTTCTATAGTGATGAATGCTGAGGGAAAATTGACAGTTTATTTATTGAAGAAAAATGGTTATCCCGATGGCTCGACGCTCCAGGAAAGCTTTGCCTTCCAAAAATTACCTTTTAGAGTCAAGATTGACGATGGAATTGTACCGTCTGTGCCAATAACTTCACCTCTGCACCTAAGTCGCCAGCCTTCAATAGAATTAGGAGCTATCTATTTATCGACAAAACTGAGCATATTTATACTGCAATTAAAACAGCGTTATTGTCATCACGTGACACGTGGTTATTGAACTCTATAAATCATAGTGCTGACTAGTAGTAGTAGTCTAGTATTTAGTATTAAACGCCTTTTAGCGGTGAGATAAGTGCACTTATCAACTTAGTGCTGGATCTGTTCAGTGGCGACTCAAGTATCATTATTGATGGTAGGAATGATGGTCTCAGAGTTAATATATTGAAGATCAAACCATCCTGGTAAGTTTTTAATGTAGTGAGTACTATGAGTAGAGTGTAGAACGTAGATTCATATACTAGAGTAGAGAAGTATCATGGATAGTCTAGCATATTCGTATATATAAATATATAATTGAATTTTGAACTATATTAGGGAGTCAAAAATGAACAGAATTCTGGAACATCTCTGCTCTGCGGCTCTGCCTCTGCCACTATACAACAATCAATAGCTAACTTAGTAAGTCCTGCCTGATGAAGCTATGGTTTACCTCTACCTGGTCTACCTCTACCTGGTCTACCTCTACCTGGTCTACCTCTACCTGGTCTACCTCTACCTGGTCTACCTCTACCTGGTCTACCTCTATCTGGTCTACCTCTACTTGGTCTACTTATTGCTGAATTTAATTTTCCTACTTATTACTGAAATTTTGCTGCTCCAAGGTGAAATTTTCAATAAATTGAAAATCTCACGGGCCACGGCTCAATCATGAACGTTTGCTTCCAATTATATAGAAGTTTTTTGTCTAACAGGAATCTCTGGGCACCAATAATGTGGGTAAAGCTCTAGTTGTGGCTCCTAAGGACAAGTATAAATATTGTCTGGAGCCTTGACCCTGACCAGTATATAACTGTGTATTTCAAGTTTCACAATAGGTAATTTATTTGATATAATTTATGGAAAGAGAATTGTTGGAAAAATCTATGCACTGACCTCTCAGTGACTTGGATGAAGATGTATGGACTTATTTTTAAAAATGTATCTGAAAATTCTCTATCAATTAGCTTGATCAACAACTGAACTTTTCTATTACTTGAATACAATGCCAAGTGTTGACTTATGAAAATGGAATTTTCTACCAATAGTATTTTTTATGATTGATATATACCATACAGTAGAGATACTTGAAGGCCACTATGCAGAGTTTGGCAATTGTGTTGCCGAGAGCAGGATCTTAGGCCAGCATTATTGAGGATTTGTTTCCAGAACTGCCTAAGCCTTCAAGATGTCTTGCCAAAAATAAATTCAATTAATTATTTAACATGAAATGTGTTGGCAAGATCTTCTGGAGACAACTTGATGTTGATGTGTTACCACAGGTCTTTAAAATAAAAGATCATTAAATATTTGCCCACTCTCTGCTCCCTGGCTTGAGGGTTCATGGAGTTAAATATGAGGTCAAGCTAACCTATATACTCACTACTTTCTTCACTAGGGAAATGTTTATTGAAACTTTGCCATTAAGAGAGGTACTGATTCAATGAAGCCGTAGACTTTTACTAGGCTTTACCTGTTTTACTTTTACTTTTTCACTAAACAAAGAAAATTCCAGACTAGTTTATAATATCTATTCAGAAAATATGCAGTCTATTATGCAAAATTGTGATTTTGTAATATTTCTATTATCATTTAACCAACAATGAAGCTGGACTCCAAAATAATTTCTATGTAGTATATAGATTTGATGAACTTCAGTGGAATTTTCTTCTCCTTTAAATCTCAAGTTAAGTTGCAATTCAAGCAAACAAGTGACTTCAATGCTCCTAGATTTTTAATGTAGGCACATATTATGGAAAATTGTTACAAGACAAGTTTGTGACAATCAGCCAATCACTGATGGCTTTTAAAGCCCAAGCCAGTAATCACAGACAAGAAATTGGCTGCTGTGTGTACTTGAGCTGCTTTTTGTATT